GGTGGTTTATGCATACTACACGAACAATAAAGTGGTTCATATTGAGGCGGTTTATGCATTCTAGAACTGTCATAAACAGGTTCATATTGGTTTTTTTTATGCATACTACAACTGTCATAAACCTGTTCCTATTGAGGTGGTTTATGCATTCTACAACTGTCATAAACTAGTTCATATTGAGGTGGTTTATGCATTCTTCAACGTTCATAAACATGTTCATATTGAGGTGGTTTATGCATTCTACAACTGTCATAAACAAGTTCATATTGAGGTGGTTGATGCATTCTACAACTGTCATAAACAAGTTCATATTGAGGTGGTTTATGCATTCTACAACTATCATAAACAAGTTCATATTGAGGTGGTTTATGCATTCTACAACTGTCATAACAAGTTCATATTGAGGTGGTTTATGCATTCTACAACTGTCATAAACAAGTTCATATTGAGGTGGTTTATGCATTCTACAACTGTTATAAACAGGTTCATATTGAGGTGGTTTATGCATTCTACAGCTGTAATAAACAAGTTCATATTGGGGTGGTTTATGCATTCTACAACTGTCATAAACATGTTCATATTGAGGTGGTTTATGGATTCTACAACTGTCATGAACAGGTTCATATTGACGTGGATTAGGCATTCTACAAATATCATAAACAAGTTGATATTGAGGTGGTTTATGGATTCTACAACTGTCATGAACAGGTTTATATTAAGGTGGTTTATGCATTCTACAACTGTAATAAACAACTTCATATTGGGGTGGTTTATGCATTCTACAACTGTCATAAACAAGTTCACATTGAGGTGGTTTATGCATTCTACAACTGTCATAAACATGTTCATATTGAGGTGGTTTATGCATTCTACAGTTGTTACAAACAAGTTCATATTGAGGTGTTTTTTTTGCATTCTACAACTGTCATAAACAAGTTGATATTGGGGTGGTTGATGCTTTCTACAGCTGTTTCAAACAGGTTCATGTTGAGGTTGTTTATGCATTCTATAACTGTCATAAACAGGTTCATATTGAGGTGGTTTATGCATTCTACAACTGTCATAAACAGGTTCATGTTGAGGTGGTTAATGCATTCTACAGCTGTTACAAACAGTGTCATATTGAGGTGGTTTATGCATTCTACAACTGTCAGAAACGGGTTCATATTGAGGTGTTTTTTGCATTCTACAACTGTCATAAACAAGTTCATATTGAGGTCGTTTATGCATTCTACAACTGTCATAAACAGGTTCATATTGACATGGTTGATGCTTTCTACAGCTGTTTCAAACAGGTTCATATTGAGGTTGTTTATGCATTCTACAACTGTTATAAACAGGTTCATATTGAGGTGGTTTATGCATTCTACAACTGTCATAAACAAGTTCATGTTGAGGTGGTTTATGCATTTTACAACTGTCATAAAGAAGTTGATATTGAGGTGGTTGATGCATTCTACAACTGTCATAACAGGTTCATATTGAGGTGGTGTATGCATTCTACAACTGTCATAAACAGGACTAGTTCATATTGAGGTGGTTTATGCATTTTATAACTATAACAAACAATGACCTATTGTGTCTCTTTAAGCATTCTACAACTATAATAAACAATTGCAAGGACCTATTATTATCCAACTGGAATAAAGAAGGTTCTACATGCGACCGCCATATGGGAAAATGTTTCTAAATTAGGCGTTTAACAACAAACTATCAAACAACTGTTTATACATTGTACAAGTAAGATACTTGTACACGTAATCCTGTATTGCTGGAATATACATTGTTGAAACTACAGTCAAACCTTGTTATCTCGAACAATGTTATCTTGAATGTATTGATATTTCTAAACTATTTTCCGGTCCCGAAAACCTCACTATGTAGATAAATGTTAATGTGCCCGCGTATCTCGAATTCGAGACAAAAATGCAGAGAGCTATCTGGAACCTTGGACTCGGTCCCAACTCTGATTTGTAGAATTGTGTACCAGAATTGAGAAGCGCAAGTATATCTAGTAGCTGTTTAATAGACACTGTCTTATAGTGGTTGTTTCTCCACTGTAAACAGGACCATATGTTGGTGGTCCTATGTAGGTTTTTTACACATCGAGAACTATAATAAACAAGGTCCTATGTAGTTTTTTTACACATCGAGAACTATTATAAACAAGGTCCTATGTGGGTTGTTTATACATCGAGAGCCATTAAAAACAAGGTCCTATGTTTTTTGTTTTTTTACTCTGTACAATGATAATAGACAAGGCCCTATGGTGGTGCTGTATACATTGTAGAACTATAATAAACATGGTTCTATGGTGGTGCTGTATACATTGTAGAACTATAATAAACATGGTTCTATGGTGGTGCTGTATACATTGTAGAACTGTAATAAACATGGTTCTATGGTAGTGCTGTATACATTGTAGAACTATTATAAACATGGTTCTATGGTGGTGCTGTATACATTGTAGAACTATAATAAACATGGTTCTATGGTGGTGCTGTATACATTGTAGAACTGTAATAAACATGGTTCTATGGTGGTGCTGTATACATTGTAGAACTATAATAAACATGGTTCTATGGTGGTGCTGTATACATTGCAGAACTGTAATAAACATGGTTCTATGGTGGTGCTGTATACATTGTAGAACTGTAATAAACATGGTTCTGTGGTGGTGCTGCATACATTGTAGAACTATTATAAACAGGGTTCTAAGGTGCTGGGTTATACCTTGTAGAACTATAAAATACACCATGGTGGTAGTGTATACATTATAAAACTAAAGTAAACAAGGCCATAATGTGATTGTCCTATGGTAGTGATTTAACTAATAGTATGATAAACAAGGTCCTATGTTTGTGGTTCATACATTCTATAACAACATGTGTACACACGATATAACTGACATTACGACGATGGTGTCGTAAAGTTGACAGCGTATGTGTAATGTGAAAACACAGAACGTGATTACCAGTGGTTTGAGTACAGAGAGCTGTTGTCATGGAGTGTGGAATGTATTGTGTCACTTGCCATCCTTTGTCGCTGTCATTGTAGTTCAATTGATTTTCCATTTTTGCGACACTTAACACAATTATAGATACATTAAACCCCGAATGTATAGACTGTTAAACCCCGAATTTTAGTTCGTTATAACCGTAGTTCGTTATAATATACAACCTCTTTACAGCAAATGGCAGGAACCAGAAATTAGGTTTGTAATACCCGTCAGTTCGTTATAAGCGTGTTCGTTATAAACGTATTTCACTGTACATTAAACCTTCACGAAATGATGTACTTATTGTTCAGTTTGTTCATTAGGGTTATAACTTGTATATTCACATTATTGCCTCCATGGAATTGCGAATTTATCAGGCTCTTCCGTGTATTTATTACGAGCGGAACACGAGCAAGTTTGGAACACGAACAAAGCATAGTCGGCTATGACGTCCGTATTTTAAGGAGCCGAATACTGTCCGCCTTCTGTCAAGCGGCGTGCCAGATATGCAACATCCAACCACACACTGCAGGCAATAGTTTCAAGCCGGCAAAAACAGGACTGTCACACACTCATTGCCTCCTCTGTTGTCGTGACGTACTCTCATATATTTTGTAGTGTAATGATTACAGCACATTTGACATATTTTGACTATGGCATTTCAGCCACGTTTTTCTCTTCATTTTACTTTTGTTTATCTTTGCCAATTTTGTTTATCTTTGTCAATGCAACAGAACAACCAGTCATCCAGGCTCCGCAATTTGCTTTGCATATCAAATCATATGATTTGGGGTTCGAATCCCGCTTCGCCCGATTAGGTTTCTAGGCTTGTGAGCACTATACCCGTGCTCGTGGGTTTCACAAAAGTGGTAAACGTCTAAGACCTGTGCCACAATAAGCTCATGATAAGCTGACACGGCTTGATGTAACAGGAATATTGTTAAATGCGGCGTTAAACCCCAACTTACTCACTCACTAATCCCAAATCATGATCATGTTAATTATGTATATATACGTCCAAAGATCTAATGGCACAGAATGTGGGCTCTACTGACTAGCGTGGCTTCACTGGACCGAATTGAATTATGTGAGTGAGTGTTGTTTTGCGCCGCTTTTCGCAATGTTCCAGCAGTAACAAGGACGCCGGAAATGGGCTTGACACATTTCACCCAGGTTGGAAATCTAACACGGGCCTGACGAACGAAAGCTTTGACCACTTGGCTACTTCATCGTCGCTATCAGATAAAAAATATATATGAACGAAATGGTCAAAAAGACCGAATCATATCATGATATATATAATTACATTAACTTTATGTGCTTAGTCAGTATTTACCTCATGGGAGGCAAGAAATAGCTCTGAAACGGCGTTACAAACAATAAAAGAAGTTGTTATCCATCAAATATCCTGTGTCCTGGGTTTCCCTTGTTCCCAGAAAGTTTGTGTTTATAGCCAGGTGGTATGAGAGATGTTGGACTTCGCTATAACCATAGTGCAGGATGACATGTTTTATGATGGATGGTGGGACATGACATGTAATAAATGGTAACGTCACGTTACGGTGCTCGAGACCCTTCAGAATGACATTAACTAATAGTCGGAAACATGACCACATTCCAGTCTGTGAGATAGATGTCTCTTTCATTATATCACCAGAGAACATGAAAAAATAAATGAACCAGAATCCCATCGTTAAAAAATACAAAAAGTACTCAATTGGAAGAGATCTACATTAGTGTATAATATCACATCGTATTTAGAGTCCGTACATACGAAATACTCTTTAACATGATGTAGTTAATTTTCTATACAGTCCAAGTTCATCTTTTTAATTTTACATTAATTAGACATGTATAAAAACTGCCTATTGATACTTCGACATTGGACTACTTCAAAACATATAGATATACACTGTATGTTCATTTAAGATGGTGGTGATAAGACCTTCAGTATTAACTGCCGCCATGTCACGCGATGTTCTACCAAACCGAATCGACCTACCCCATATGACGATTCTAACCATGGTCCTCGTGTCCAGAAAGGAAGGGTGTCCAGTCCAAATATTGTCCTTCAGTTCGTCGTGAGCCATACACCACTCCGGACACAGCGTTCCTTCCACCTGTCACGTGACGAAGCAGACTGTTACTTGTCACTCAAAACGTAGACGGGTTTATCACAGATCTTATATTGTCATGAAGGAGTTGATTGATGTCAATGAACAGGACAGGCAAAGTCTGTGGTGACCATGGATCATCAATGAACCGTTGTCCTTCGTTTCTTGCTGAACTGACTGGACAATTGATATATCGACCTGCCAATCACTATTATCTAATTTCCATGTCACGAATTACTTCAACCGGGAGGTAACACTGTTGTCCTTTCTCTGCCCAACATGGCCTCGGGTAGTATATTTGTTTATGACGTTGTCATTTTAATGTCGTGTTTCAATCTAGATTCAACTGTATTTTGTTTTCATGTATATGCGATAGATGCTTGATACGCAATAGGGTTTGCATATAGGCACTTATTTCTAAAGGATTGCAGAAGATTGAATTGATAAATACAGTAAATTATGTTTATAACGAACACGCTTATAACGAACTGACGAATATTACGAACTTATTTTTTGGTCCCTGTTATTTGCGTATAGATGTTGTATATATGCTTATAACAAACTACCGTTTCAACGACCTAACTGGTGGTCCCTTTGAGTTCGTTAAAGCTATAGTTTACAACATATTTCATTTCTACCAGGTGTAGTAAAATGCTTGCACAGAATTTCATTTTAGTGCATGCCAATTATAATTGAAGAGCTTAGAGCCATAAGGGCCAATGTCATGTGGAGTCTGTTTTGAGAAAAGTGATGAAAACACATAACATTATGCATGTTAATGAACTTTTTTTTCACCGATAAATTCCTAGACATTAACGCATTCTGACAGCAGAGATATAAATGTTGTTAAAAAAAAACATTAAAAAAAACCAAAACTTACGTTATTAATTTTTGTGAGGGTGGGAAGGGCCAGTGTCTGTATTTTGGCCCTTTTTGACGCTCAGGCATTTGCATGAGATTTACCATGTGAGATTGATAAACTACTACTTAAAGTACAAACACAAGCTATTGAAGTACTTTTAAATGATTTAATCTAAAGCTAACTTTGTTGAAATAGTTGAAATATGATAATAAGGTTCCAAACTTTCAAAATCTCTCTCAGACAACCAGTCTCAACCAAAGTGACTTTGGCCCTTTTGAAACTTGACTTTGGCCCTTTTTTAGAATTTTGAGTAGCTATATTTCAAAAACGCATGAATGAAATCATACAATATTTTTCGAGACAAGAAGGTAGGACTGTAGACAAGAATTCATAGATGTTATTTATGCAATAATATGCAAAAAGGGACAAAGTGCATTTTGGCCACTTTTAGCTCTAAACGCTTTAATTATTCTGGACATATTTTTTTCTCAAAAAGTGTATATTTCATGTCATAATACATGCATGCATTTCTTCATTCTTCAGTAAAGAGGATATACCATGTGAATATGGAATAGATCATGCAGTAAGACTGTGGATTAACAATTTTATCCAGTAGGATATACACTTCACAACACAATATATATGATGGGTGCCTTCCTTATTCGCAGATTACAACATCACTGCTTGTATTACTAGAAATGCTTTAAATTCGTTTACTAAAACATAACTTTGCCCTTTCAATGGACGTTACATGTTGACATCCCCAAACTTCAGAGACGTAGATTGAAATAGGTGCAATCATTTGTGTCAAATTTAAACAAGAACATTGACGTATTTACATTGAACTTATTACGCTCAATAAACGTTAAACCTTAAGTGACAAAAAGTTTTCGGTTTTCCCCCAATACAGAGTAGGTGTGAATAGATAACAAGATATTTATACTCAGGCACACTTTCAAAACATATCCGTCATAGCTCCATGTTTCACTTGTTTTAGTGAGTGAGTGAGTGAGTTTGACTTTACGCCGCTTTTGGCAATATTCCAGTAATATCACGGCGGAGGACATCAGAAATGGGCTTCACACATTGTATCCATGTCGGGAATCGAACCCGGGTTTTCGGCGTGACGAGCGAACGCTTTGACCGCTAGGCTACCCGACCGCCCCTTCAGTTGTTTTAAGTTGTCCACTTCTTCTGAGTTCCATGATTTAAGTGGTACGTGTGTTCACTCTCAAACCATAATTATTGCAAATCGTACATTAATAAATCCCTTTGCTGCTATAATCTGTACACGCTACATGCAACCTTGCCCGTGTCGTCAGCAAACAATAAGGTTGTGAAATTATCCAGGAGCATGTCATCGTGTCCCAATTGTTTAGATGTAGATCGATGCTCATGATGTCAATCACTGGATTGTCTGGTCCAGCCTCCGAACAGGTATATTGCTCAACGCGGCGTTTAACAACAAACACCAAAAACACATTGGAGTCAGTGCCAGACAAGCCAGTGATCGGGACACCAGCATGGGATTGTTGGGGCCTATTGTGCCCCGGGGTCCAGACGGGTCCAGGCGGCACAGACGGGTCCAGACGGGTCCAGACGGCACAGACGGGTCCAGACGGGTCCAGACGGGCCCAGACGGGTCCAGACGGCACATTTCCTAAAGCTAAGAACTTCATAATATGGACAAATACATGGGAAGTGGAATTCGTACGGTAATTGCAAACTAGAGATGTTCTTTGTGAAATATCACTAGTTAACTTTCTCTCTTCATTATTTTTTCAATTTTCAAACATCTTCTGTAAATCATGAACTTTCTATCAGATAGGATTGAGAGATATTAAGTTCTCTATACCAATAGTTTCTCGTGTCTCCCGCCGTGATATTGCTGGAATATTGCTAAAAGCGGCATAAAACCATACTCACTCACTCACTCTATACCAATAGTAACGTGAAAATCTTTAAACGCATGGGTGCCACTTTTGAAACATATTGATGTGAGGTGAGGTGAAATGGCCTTTAACATCGCGTCTAAGACCAGTCCTTGTTTTAGCCCCTGAATGACGAACGCCGGGTAACAACAAGTACCACCTCAAACCAACAGGTGCCCATTCACTGTAGTGGGAACGGAGGCAGATTACGAACAAAGTCACCTGCCCACGTAGATAACACATGTGCGACATATGCTTCAGGATGGGTGAGTGAGTGAGTATGGTTTTACGCCGCTTTTAGCAATATTCCAGCAATATCACGGCGGGGGACACCAGAAATGGGCTTCACACATTGTACCCATGTCGGGAATCGAACCCGGGTCTTCGGCGTGACGAGCGAACGCTTTAACCACTAGGCTACCCGACCGCCCCGCTTCAGGATGGGGGAGTTCTGAAACTCCAGAAACTCCCCGAAGTCCAGCTGCCGAATGCGGTCACCCATCCACCTACTCTCCGCGACCGACATTTCCTAATTCCACCTGATTTTTGACCTGTGATAATCATGTGCCACCACAAGTGAGGATTCCAGGTTTAAATAGGTCCACAGCAACTTTTTCCTGGTGGTGCAAAGCGACTAAATGGATCTGGTGGTCAGGCTCGGTGATTTTGTTGATGGCGTGTCTTCGTATCCTGACGACGTTGCTCACAATATCGCTGTGTGCAGTTTTAAAAAGCAAACAAGCAAGCAAACAAGCAAACAAGCAAACAAGCAAACAAACAAACAAACACATTTTTTGTAATAAGGGTCATTCGTTATCCTGAAAGCTGCCAGCGAAAGTGTTGAAAGAAAATAATTTGTCCTGAGGTCTAACAAAATATCTTCGTACACTGGACATGCTGAATGTTCAGGGGGCGCGGGTGGCCCAGTCATCTAAGGCGCCGCAATTCACTGTGCAGAGTTGCGTCCCTTCGGCACGCCAGAAACCTATGATTGTGGGTTCCGGTTCGCTCCGATTGTTTCTAGGTTTGTCAGCACCATACCCGTGCTCGTGGATTTAACCGAAGTGGTAAACGTCTGAGACCTGCATCACTTCGGGCTTTCCTCCGACATTAAGCAGACATGCCACGATATAACTGGAATACTGTTAAAAGCGGCGTTAAACACAACTCACTCACTCACTCACTGAATGTTCAGACACACAACATGGGTATTTGATGGACAAAACATTGTCAGCTTTTGGTGTCTCAAACGAACTTCGCATAGACCCCCTACCCCCACCCCGACACACCTACTCTCCAACTCCCCCAAACCAGCCGGTGCCACTGGCCCACCGCGGAATGTTACGTGGTCGAGTCCTAATTCATTACGACATATTGATAAAAAGACAACCGCCTATACAACAGCACTGCCCAAGGGCAATCTGAGGCAACACAGGAACATTGTCCAGCTCCTGAACAGAGAGCTTCTCAAACTATACCCGGGGGCTGTCTTGATATATCATCTCTTAGTGTTCACACGTACCCACCTATCAATTGTATACCATACACGACTTTATCAACAACATGTCTCTACTATTCATACTTCGAGAGGGGCGGTCGGGTAGCCTAGGGGTTAGAGCCGGGTTCGATTCCCGACATGGGTACAATGTGTGGAGCCCATTTCTGGTGTCCCCCGCCGTGATATTGCTGGAATATTGCTAAAAGCGGCGTAAAACCATACTCACTCACTCACTCATACTTCGAAACCAAAAGCAAAACAACCAAAAGCAACACATCACCCCACAACAGCTATGACGGAATGGCAATCACAGGCGGAGATATTTTGGAGCAGCAGATGGTGGTGGGTTGTAAAAGTCTTGAGGGTACAAAATGTTGGACATTTTGAGTAAGTGTGAGTGAGTTGGGTTTAACAGTTTAACAGTTTACCAGCTGACAAACCTAGAAACATAATAGGGGCGAACCGGGATTCGAACCCACAATCATAGGTTTCTGGCTTGCCCAAGGGACGCAACTCTGCACAGCGAATCGCGGCGCCTCAGACGACTGGGTCACCCGTGCCCTTTGGACATTTAGAAACAGTGTTACATATATGACACTTTGGCATCCACCATAGATGAAAGGGCTATGACAATGCAATCAACCATGAATTTGGAATTGACTCGATTCTGATTGGTCAATCAGATGGTATTAAATCACAATTAACCCCCTCTGATTGAAACAGCTGGTTTGACGGCCGCATCACAGCGGAAGCGAATATTCATAGAATAGTACTATTTACAGTAATTGTCGGTAGGCATATTTAAATAATTATATCTACAATTACAGGTTACAAAATGCACAGATGCGGTTACTACAGTATTCAAAGGATGTGTGGATGTGTGCAGAAAACACGATAGAAATCTACACAGAAAACGTGTTTACCTTTTGGAGACAACAGAGAGCTTGGAATTTTGGTGCTTTTCTATATACGACTGTGTCGTCATATCTGTTCCGTCACAATGAGCGATATGACGTCATAATGGTGACGCGCGATGTAGAGCGAAAGCCTTGCAAAGCTTGCTTTGTTTTCTTTAGGGATGCCCACCTCATGTCAGCTTACCAAGTTGCCGTGCTTATATGCTTTCAATGCCTGTCATATGTTCGAGTGAAGTATCACGGTGTAAACAAACTGCTTAAGAAAATTATATACAGCGCCATATTTTGTTCGGTGATTCCGTAAATCAGATCAATAACCCAGTCAAAACACTGGACGCAACCCATGCCGCTTCACTCAGTATATTTACTAACACCAAAGAGTTCGCGTTGTATTTAGTCACGGTAGAATGGAGATAAACATACTGTGTTTTCAATGTAGTGCTAGGTTACCTGTAGATTTAACCGCGCTAAATTGAATTTAGAACCGAACGCGCGGCGTAAGGTTTCAAATGCTTAATTTAGCACGGTTAAATCTACATTGAAAACACAGTATGTTTATCTAATAATTACCGTGCGAATAACACTTCATACCTGTTATAGACACCAAACACTTCATCATAACTAAAGGTAATGGTACGAATGTGAAAAAACACTGTTTCTAAACAAACAGGGGCGGTCGGGTAGCCTAGTGGTTAAAGCGTTCGCTCGTCCCGACGAAGACCCGGGTTCGATTTCCGACATGGGTACAATGTGTGAAGCCCGTTTCTGTTGTTCCCCGCCGTGATATTGTTGGTATATTGCTCAAAGCGGCGTAAAATTATTCTCACTCACTCACTAAAACACATCCCGTTGAAGACGGCATTGCCTTGCCATGGACTATAGGGACTTGGGTGGCACAGGTGAAGCTAAAGAACGCTGTAACAATGACTTGTCTGATGACCAAGAACACGTGTGACTTCCTTCCATCTGTACTGGAAACATTAAAGGAACACGTGCAACCAGACTGGTGTAAGAAATGGTGTTAATTGTAGGGTGGCAGAAGACAATGAGTGTTCTTAGACTAAATAGAAGGGTATTCTCAGCTAGTATAATAGTAGTAGTAGCTGTAGTAATAGTTTTAGTAGTAATTGTAGTAGCTGTAGCAGCAGTAGTGGTATTAAAACACATCTGTAAAAACACATCACGCAATGGCGACCCACACAGTATAAATAGAGACTACAAAGAGTTCTGGTATATTTTTCAAATATTTTCCACAACAGAATGTTTTGTCAAAGTGTGAAAGTAGGGATGAGTTTTAAGTAGGAGAATATCCTCGTAACTCTCCATTCCTTAAAAACATTGGGCCTCCACCCCTGCGGGGCCTCTTCTCCATTATTTTTAAGGAATGGAGAGTTACTCGGACATTCACCTCCACATAATAGTAGTGGTAGTGGTAGTGGCAGTAGATGTTGTATCTTGTTTTACGCCGCACTCAGCAATATTCCAGCTATATGACGTAAATAGTAGCAGACGTTATGGCAGTGTTAGTGGTAGTGAATGAATGTGGTTTTACGCCACTTTTAGCACTATTCCAGCAATGTCACGGCGGGGAACACCAGAAATGGGCCTCACACATTGGGGAATCGAACCCGGGTCTTCTGCGTATCTAGCGAACGCTTTAACCCCTAGACTACCCAACAGCCCCAGTAGTAGTAGTAGTTGTGGTGGTAGTAGTAGTGGCATTATTATTTATCATTAGTAGTAGCAGTAGTAGTAGTAGTAGTAGTAGTATGTAGTAGTACATACTATATGTAAGGCCACTCACAAACTAGTCAATGTAACGTGCCATAAAGGTGTGCTGGTGATTAGGTGCCTAACTCTGAGAGTGTAAGGTCGAATCCCAGATGTGACTCGATCCAAAACAGTAATAGAATTTGTATTTTACCGAGAAAGCGTAATCCCAAACGTAACATATGTTACATTTGACCACTGTCTTGACAATTGCATTGTCTTTTCTTAACGTATCAGTTGTCTTCGCAACCAAAGACAGGCTTTTAAATCATATTTTTCAAGCCCGCCCGGATGCCCTTATATCGGAGAGGGAGAAACACACATGATTACCCGATTACCCGATTACGCGGAAGGCCGATCGATGAAACGATACAATAACGTTTTATAAGGCGATATGACTGGCCAATCAGGAATATATATATATATATATATATATATGTGACTTTAAATATTAACTCTCTCACTCACTCATTACTTGATAAGAAGCACCAAATCTAAATCTTCACCTCATTCATTTATCAAAACGGGTTGTTATGAAATATTCAATTAAGGGATGCGCGGGTTAATACGTAACAGTAATGCAGTACTACTTCACAGGTAACCTCCCAAAACCCCTACATCCCATTTCCCCTACAGCTTAAGACAACAAAGTTCACGGTCCATGGCACTGCTAATCCCTAGTCTATTACCTATTTCATACAATGGAACAACCCAAGAAACACGAATAGATTGAGATAAATATTAAATTACGATTACGATATTATTCAAATTTCATAATACATTATAATAAAATGTTCATTTTTCAAAATTCATAATACATTATAATAAAATGTTCATTTTTCAAAATGCATAATACATTATAATAAAATGTTCATTTTTCAAAATTCATAATACATTATAACAAAATGTTCGTTTTTCAAAATTCATAATACATTATAATAAATTTCATCTCAAATGTTCAATTCACTCTTTATCCCAGCCTGAGGAAATGGCCAGCCTCATCACGGTTCCTACTGTCGTGAGTCTTCCTCTACATGTGGACTTGACACACTACCAGTGTACGCAAGTCAGTCTCTCGACGTTCTTAGTGTGAAGATACCCATCACATAGGACTTGGGGCTTTCCTCTCTGTGACATAACAAACTCAACATAGCGAAGCCCAGACATGTTGATGTCATGTTAGTCAGTTTCAAGTATCTATATACTAAACATAGCCATCTCAACTGTAAATCGTCCATCTCAGTTTCTCAGTGTAATAATTGTTTCTTCATATTGTTATTTTTGTATTTTTTTAAAATTGTCTTCTCATCATATAGGCATCTTTCATTACACTTACATTATTTAAACAAACAAACTTCCCCTAGTCCCCTAAAGCTCTACCCCTTTCATTTCTACTACCTCTACTCCAGACCTTAATCTCTCCTTTAGGTGAGTTCATAATGCCAGACAGGTAAATGCCGCGTGTTGTTTTAACTAATTGTAGGGGAACTGGGTTGTAGGGGAAATGGGATGTAGGGGTTTTGGGAGATAACCTCTTCACAGTGGCATAGTACAGTCACGATATTGCAATAAACATCCACGCGGGAGTGTGAGGATGACTGATGATGGAGGACGGCACGCCGGCGTGACGGCGAAGAGGTCGTTCCAGTCAACGGAACTGCGTGTTGTAGGCGTAGAACCAGTCAGCTAAGTATCCCGACCTACCTGTTCCATATGTAACGACATTTGTTATGGAGGAATGTATACGCTGGGCTCGTGAAAAGGAATACTGCCTGTCGCGTGGGATTTGTCAACTTAATTAAGAGATGATAAACAACGGTGAACAGGAATGGGAGAATTAAACGTAATCCTGGCGTGTTTATTTTTATGTATGGACGGATAACAACTGTCATGTAGGGTGGCCCATTTCTGAAACATCGCACCTTCCCACCTGCCCGTTCTATTACGGAGGAGGCGAGAAATACGAACCGATTGCGATGACGCGATGAAACCATGACGCGATGCAAAGTGAGTGAGTGAGTATGGTTTTACGCCTCTTTTAGCAATATTCCAGCAATATCACGGCGGGGGACACCAGAAATGGGCTTCACACATTGTACCCATGTCGGGAATCGAACCCGGGTCTTCGGCGTGACGAGTGAACGCGATGCAAAGAGTGAGTGAGTGAGTATGGTTTTACACCGCTTTTAGCAATATTCCAGCACATATCACGGCGGGGACACCAGAAATGGGCTTCACACATTGTACCCATGTCGGGAATCGAACCCGGGTCTTCGGCGTGACGAGTGAACGCGATGCAAAGAGTGAGTGATGTCACATTGCGTTTTAGTGTCATTGCCTTACGTTTTCGACTTGGAAAAAACACAACGAGTCAGATAGATATTTCTGAAATATATTGCCAGGAGAGAAAAGTTCTAAGACCGTTACCACTTTGGTTAAAGCCACGAACACAGGTATGGTGTTGACAATCCTAGAAACATAATCAGGGAACCGGGATTTGAACCCAGGAACATAGGATTCTAGTGTGCCCAAGGGACGCAACTCTACATGGCGAATCGCGGCGCGCTTAGCCGACCGTGCACCCTGTAAAACACCCACGTCACAACCCCGTCCCTCCCGTTGACATGGATCTCAGTTGTAACATTGGACATCAAGTTGATCCATGTTGTAGCACAGGACATCATATGAATTCCGAGAATCTGTGAGTGAGTGAGTGAGTTGGGTTTAACGCCGTTTTTAACAATATTCCAGTTATTTCGCAGCGTGTCAGCTTAATGTGGGAGGAAAGCCTCAAGTGATTCAGGTCTTAGACGTTTACCTCTTTGGTGAAACCCACGAGCACGGGTATGGTGCTGACAAACCTAGAAATATAATCGGGGCGAACCGGGATTCGAACCCACAATCATAGGAAGCAAGGCACTATTCAGAGATAAGCTGACATTTTATTCACATACTAATAAGCACAGGGACACAGTGAAGATTAAATAAGCAAAATATCATCTTCGTGTTTTTAAACAAAGCGTTCAACAAATACATCACTAATACTAGTGAGTGCGTGAGTTGGGTTTTACGCCGTTTTTAACAGTATTCCAGTTACATCACGGCGTGTCAGCTTAGTGTGGGAGGAAAGCCCGAAGTGATGCAGGTCTCAGAAGTTTACCACTTCGGTGAAACCCACGAGCACGGGTATGGTGCTGACAAACCTAGAAACATCACTAATACAAACAACAGTCGTACAGAGGAGTTGGAGGTTTTGTGCCAAATGTTTGGATTTCTTGTCACTAAACACAACGAAATTTAAAACGTGTTTTTTGTGTTACTGCGTTTAATGTTATAAAGCAGAATAAGATCAGGACCATCTTCCTTTAAACGCATTGACATGTCAACAAGAATAGGAAAAGTGTCACAACGTCTGTTCTAGCCAGGAACGCGATTGGAGACAATGCACTTTGAGCGTCAAGAACTGTTTGGGCCACATCTGTGGATGGTACATAATACTTCATTTTCTATTGTGCGTTTCTTGACCATTGTCCCTTCTGGAGGGCACAGTCCACGAGGACGATGCTGTTGTTGGCGACTTTGTAGAACTCGGTACCGCAGTCGGAGCCACAGCCTGTCACCCTGAAATTAGAAGTAATGTACATGTCTCACAATTGAGTCACATTGTCTCACACATCACTTACTATTGACTCACTTGTATCGTACCTGACTCACATGGCACTACACTGTACTCACATTTGACTCACATAACGTTACACTTAGATAACAGACTACACTGTACTTACATTTGACTCACATGACGTCACACTTGAGTCACATTAGACTACACTGTACTCATATGTGACTCATAACGTCACACTTGACTCACATTAGACTACACTATACTCACATGTGACTCACATGACGTCACACTTGAGTCACATTAGACTACATTGTACTTACATGTGACTCACATAACGTCACACTTGATTCACATTAGACTACACTGTACTCACATTTGACTCACATAACGTCACACTTGACTCACACGAGACTACACTGTACTTACATGTGACTCACGTAACGTCACACTTGACTCACATTAGACTGCACTGTACTGACGTGACTCATATAACGTCACACTTTGCCGACATTCGACTACACTGTACTCACATTTGACTTGCAGAACGTCACACTTGGCTCACATTAGACTACCCTGTACACACATTTCACTCACATAACGCCACACCTGACTCACATGAGACTACACTGTACTCACATTTGACGCACATAACATAACGTCACATTAGACTACACTGTACTCACATTTGACTCACATAACGTCACACCTGACTCACATTAGACTATACTGTACTTACATTTGACTCACATAACGTCACATTAAACTACACTGTACTCACATATGACTCACATAACGTCACACCTGACTCACATTATACTACACTGTACTCACATTTGACTCACATAAAGTCAAACTTGACTCACATTAGACTACACTGTGCTCACATTTGACTCACATAACGTCACACTTGGTTCATATTAGACTATATTGTACTTACATTTGACTCACATAACGTCACACCTGACTCACATGAGACTACACTATACTCACATTTGACTCACATAACGTCACATCGTACTCACATTAAACTTCACTGTACTCACATTTGACTCACTTAACGTCACACTTGGCTCACGTTAGACTACACTGAACTCACATTTGACTCACATAACGTCACACTTGGTTCACATTAGACTACACTGCACTTACATTTGACTCACATAACTTCACACCTAAATCACATTAAACTACACTGTACTCACATTTGACTCACATAACGTCACACTTGGCTCGCATTAGACTTCACTGTACTCACATTTGACTCACATAACGTCACTTCGCTCACATTAAACTACACTGTACTCACATATGCATTTGACTCACATTACATCACCTTTGAATTACATTTAAGTCACATTGGGTGCATGTTTTAGGCTCATTGACTGGCATTTCGATTACATTGATTCACATTTCGATCACAATGATTCTCATCACTCCTCTCACATTTGATTCCCTTTTCACTTTTTTTTTGTTCACATTTGACTCATACTGTACTCACATTTTTTTTACATTTGACCCATATTTCATGAAACACGCAATTGTTTGCTAAAAGAGCGGACATCGTGCATTTCTTAAAGAATGCGTGTATGAGAGTGACCTGACGGGGTGGGGGAGTTGGGGGACATCGTACCTCACATAAAGAACGCGTGTATGAGAGTGACCTGACGGGGTGGGGGAGTTGGGGGACATCGTACCTCACTTAAAGAACGCGTGTATAGGGAGTGACCTGACGGGGTGGGGGAGTTGGGGGACATCGTACCTCACATAAAGAACGCAGTGTAATGATGGACATCTGTGTATTGTTCAAAGTATACTAGAAACATACGTTGTTCCATTTTGTTTACCATTTGCCAAAATTTTGTGTTTGTTTGTTTGTTTGTTGAACTCCCCGTTTACGCCATGTTCAGTAACATTCCAAGTATATCTGTAAATATACGAGTTAGAACCAGACAAACCAGTGATTGGTGCAACAGCTATCGCCTATTACCTAGTCTCAGCGATGATTCAGATTATGTATAGGTGATGGGGCCTATTCTAACCCGGAATCCCCACCGGGCTATCGTAGATGTGAAGGGCTGATGGGCTTCGTGGTAACCTGTAGCGTCCCTCGTGCCTGTCCCTTCAGCCCCCCCCCCCCCCCCCCCCCCCTCCTCACCCCTACCCCATCCCCGCCCCCCTACCTCCTCCCTTTCCCTCTACACCCGTGCAACACTTACCTGCACAGAGCCTGTCTGTCACTCTCACATCGGTTGTAGAAACACCTGCACGTTGGCTGTTCGTTCGCGGGACACGCTGCCAATTACAAGTTGCAATTTTCATCAACACAATTATCATGTTCAAGACACAATATGAAAATTCGTTTGTTTTTAACGCCGCACTGAGCAATATTCCAGCTGTATGACGGCGGTATGTAAATAATCAAATCTGGACCAGACAATCCACTGATTGACATCATAAGCATCTAGCTATACAATTTGGATACGGTGACAGGCCTTCACCCCCCCCCCCCCCCCCCCCCCCCCCAATAAAAATCACAACAGGAAGACAAGCATGGAGTACTGGGGACACACAAAGGAAGCATGTGCCACGTGACTGGATTTGTTAAGTATACTCGTGGAATTGAACACTCTGCCAGACCCGTGAAGATCCGGGGTAGAATAGGTCTTCAGCAACCAATGCTTGCCGTAAAAAGCGACTATGCTTGTCGTAAAAGGCGACTGACTTGATTGATGCATGTCATCGAATCCCAATTGCGTGGATCGATGCTCATGAAATCAATTACTGGATTGTCTGGTCCAGACTCGATTATTTAAAGAGCGCCGCTGAGTGCGGCGTAATACAACAAACACACAAACACACTCTGCCAGAGCTACATGGTGTGTCAAGCATAGGGCACGAGGGGCCAATTCTACCCCGAAATCTCCACAGGGAGGAAAGCATTTCCATCTCGGAATCACCATGGGGAGACTAGTCTACCACTACGGTATGTAAGACATAAGTTAAGTTCACTCACGTGATGTCGACCAGGGGATGTCACATGCCACTTCTCTGTCACCAATAAACCATTGAGCTTTGCACGACCCGCACTTCGAAAATCTGTAATGATAATGATAATAATAATAATAATAATAATGGTTATGAATGCTTTAGTGTTGTTTTGCATGAATCAAGATTGTTTTCAGAATTGTATGGAACATTTCACTTTTTTTTTCAATCTCACTTTTTAACTGTTTATGAAATGCGAAGATCAATATTATGATTTCCTTTGTATATATTGTCCCTAAATACCTATGACTAACTGCACACAGCGTCTGGGTGGGCAAGAATATTGAGGGTAGTGAGGCTATATTTCCCTGCACACAGCATCCGGGTGGACGGCGCAGGAATACTGAGGGAAGTGAGGCGAAATCTACCTGCACACAGCGTCTGAGTGGAAGGGGCAGGAATATAGAGGGTACTGAGGCTATATCTACCTGCACACAGCGTCTGAGTGGAAGGGGCAGGAATATAGAGGGTACTGAGGCTATATCTACCTGCACACAGCGTCTGAGTGGAAGGGGCAGGAATATAGAGAGTACTGAGGCTATATCTACCTGCACACAGCGTCTGAGTGGAAGGGGCAGGAATATAGAGGGTACTGAGGCTATATCTACCTGCACACAGCGTCTGAGTGGAAGGGGCAGGAATATCGAGAGTACTGAGGCTATATCTACCTGCACACAGCGTCTGAGTGGAAGGGGCAGGAATATAGAGAGTACTGAGGCTATATCTGCCTGCACACACCGTCTGGGTGGGTAGGAATATTTAGCGTAGTGAGGCTATATCTATTTGCACACAGCGTCTGGGTGGGTAGTAATATTGAGGGTAGTGAGGCTATATCTACCTGCACACAGCGTCTGGGTGGGTAGTAATATTGAGGGTAGTGAGGCTATATCTACCTCCACACAACGTCTGGGTGGGTAGTAATATTGAGGGTAGTGAGGCTATATCTATCTGCACACAGCGTCTGGGTGGGTAGTAATATTGAGGGTAGTGAGGCTATATCTACCTGCACACAGCGTCTGGGTGGGCGGGGCAGGAATATTGAGGGAAGTGAGGCTATATCTACCTGCACACATCGTCTTGGTGGCCGGGGCAGGAATATGGAGGGTAGTCAGGCTATATCTACCTGCACACAGCGTCTGGGTGGGCGGGGCAGGAATATTGAGGGAAGTGAGGCGATATCTACCTGCACACAGCGTCCGAGTGGGTGGGGCAGGAATATAGAGGGCAGCCAGGTTATATCTACCCCCTCACAACGTCTGGATGGGCGGGGCAGAAATATTGAGGGAAGTGAGGCTACATCTACCGCCACACAACGTCTGGGTGGGTAGGAATATTGAGGGTAGTGAGGCTATATCTACCTGCACACAGCGTCCGGGTGGCCGGGGCAGGAATATGGAGGGTAGTCAGGCTATATCTACCTCCACACAACGTCTGGGTGGCCGGGGCAGGAATATGGAGGGTAGTCAGGCTATATCTACCTCCACACAACGTCTGGGTGGCCGGGGCAGGAATATGGAGGGTAGTCAGGCTATATCTACCTGCACACAGCGTCTGGGTGGGCGGGCCAGGAATATGGAGGGTAGTCAGGCTATATCTACCTGCACACAGCGTCTGGGTGGGCGGGGCAGGCATATTGAGGGTAGTGAGGATAAATCTACCCTCAAACAGCGTCCGGGTGGGCGGGGCAGGAATATTGAGGGAAGTGAGGCTATATCTACCTGCACACAGCGTCCGAGTGGGTGGGGCAGGAATACTGAGGGCAGCCAGGTTATATCTACCCCCTCACAACGTCTGGGTGGACGGGGCAGAAATATGGAGGGAAGTGAGGTTATATCTACCGCCATACAACGTCTGGGTAGGTAGGAATATTGAGGGTAGTGAGGCTATATCTACCTGCACACAGCGTCTGGGTGGGTAGGAATATTGAGAGTAGTAAGGCTATATCTACCTGCACACAGCGTCTGGGTGGAAGGGGCAGGAATATTGAGGGTAGTGAGGCTATATCTACCTGCACACAGCGTCTGGGTGGAAGGGGCAGGAATATTGAGGGTAGTCAGGCTATATCTACCTGCACACAGCGTCTGGGTGGAAGGGGTAGGAATATTGAGGGTAGTGAGGCTATATCTACCTGCACACAGCTTCTGGCTGGAAGGGGCAGGAATATAGAGGGTAGTGAGGCTATATCTACCTGCACACAGCTTCTGGCTGGAAGGGGCAGGAATATTGAGGGAAGTGAGGCGATATCTACCTGCACACAGCGTCTGGCTGGAAGGGGCAGGAATATTGAGGGTAGTCAGGCTATATCTACCTGCACACAGCGTCTGGGTGGAAGGGGTAGGAATATTGAGGGTAGTGAGGCTATATCTACCTGCACACAGCTTCTGGCTGGAAGGGGCAGGAATATAGAGGGTAGTGAGGCTATATCTACCTGCACACAGCTTCTGGCTGGAAGGGGCAGGAATATAGAGGGTAGTGAGGCTATATCTACCTGCACACAGCTTCTGGCTGGAAGGGGCAGGAATATAGAGGGTAGTGAGGCTATATCTACCTGCACACAGCGTCTGGCTGGAAGGGGCAGGAATATTGAGGGAAGTGAGGCTATATCTACCTGCACACAGCGTCCGAGTGGGCGGGGCAGGAATATTGAGGGTAGGGAGGCTATATCTACCTGCACACAGCGTCTGGGTGGGTAGGAATATTGAGGGTAGTGAGGCTATATCTACCTGCACACAGCGTCTGGGTGGGCGGGGCAGGAGTACTGGGCACAAGGGTTCCTGGTACACGCCACTGTAATCTGAGACGCCGGACATTCTGTGGAAAGATAAGAAAGTAGAAAAGATGTGTTGAAATAACAATTATCAACACTTGATAGTTTTGTTTCGCGTCCCTAACAGCGAAGTTGACCTGATACAGACAGTTACAAACAATGAGATGACGTCACAGAAGAAGTCATAGGACATGTATACTGAAATTAGGGACTGCCCTGACTCAAGGTCTACCACGGCTCGGCTAATATGACTGTACGTTTCAGCAAAATGTGGAATATTCCGTTATTTGTTCAATTCGATCAACAGGGTACAAAACACATCCTAGGATATAAAAACCCAAAACAAATCTTTTATTTCCGCAACCGATGAGAAAATTCAAAGGCTACGACAAACAGAAATTACAAAAACGAGAAACTGTTTTATCGACATAACGGCAGAGTGATTTGTTTATTTGTTTGTTTGTTGTTTAACGCCGCACGCATATTCCAGCTATATGACGGCGGTCTTGAAATAATCGAGCCTGGACAAGACAATCTAGTGATTGACACCATGAGCATCGATCCACGCAATTAGGATACAATGACATGCAGTCAGCGAGCCTCACCACCCGATCCCGTTAGTCACCTCTTGTGACGAGCACAGTCGCCTTTTAAGGCAAGCATGGGTTGCTGAAGACCTATTCTACCCTGGACCGTCAAGGGAAGGCAGACCAAGGAAGCGGTCGCTGTGAGGCCAGGGTATCTGTGTAGTTTAACTCATGTCCTGTGGTCAAGGGACAAATGTGATATGCACGACAAATAACTACCCTTGACCACCCGTTCGTGGAAGCAAGTGTACGACAATGCTACAAACCTCCAGTGCAGTCCACCTCCTGGCCGTCTCTGTACCATCGGGCGAAGCACGAACCGCAGGGATTCGGTCTGAACAAAGAAAGTTATTCCAAGTTGGTTAAAGCTTTCAAAACGTCTTATGGCAGAAATGTGGAGGACATTTCCAAATCTGACTCATTAGTGACAAAACATTATGTCCGGTGCAAATCCCTTGGCGTCCTGGCTCTCGGCGTGACGAGCAAATGTTTTGACCACTATGCCACCTCTCCGCCCAAAATTCGATAAGAAACTGTACAGACACGAATCATTTGGTTAAAGTAAAATCATTGATGTCGTGATATACATGTATACTTATAAAAAAATACTATCCATTTTGGGGAAGGTGATTTATTTTTCAAGGCAAACGTGTCGCGGCGAAGCTTTCCAGACATTAGTAAAGTTTTCCAAAAACCATAAAAAAACCATCATGGTAGACATGTGAACTTGTACCCAAGGTTCCCGTGTGTTTTAAGATGAAAAATTGACTTGACTTTGCATGTGTTCGTGACACCTGGTATCATCACTATTTGACATACACATATGCTTCTGACATAGTCGGAATCGTATAATAAACTTTTAGCAGATATTTCTTATGATTATGGAATTTTTGTTGTTGCTTTGATTTCACTTCGACAATACTGCCCCATCTTATCAATTGTAGCAGTCTAAGTCATGGGTTGCTGAAGCCCAATTCTAACCCGGACCTTCACTTGTCTCGCGATATGAACTCACTTTGGCCGTCAAACACATGCTCATTGTTATTGCCGTATGCACAAGCACCATTGTCATGCATGCCAGGGAATCAGGGGATACGGTAGTTGGAGCTACCCGCTGGCCGTCAAGCAGTGCCAGACGAATTCTAAGGTAAATTTTCAAATTTCCGCGGTACAATTACCAGCATTCTGCTGCTAAAATGATATAACTCTGTGGTAAATTTTGCGATAAAAGCATAACCATATCCCCAACAAACTTTAATACAAACTATTATTTTCTTTACAATTTTTAATCTCTTGCATTTAGACATTTCAAGAGATGAAATTATGCAAGTATATATGCATAGTGTCTGATATTTGTTGATTGTTTTGCGTAAACATAGCTTTATGTCGTCGTAATACCATAGGAACATTTAAAAAGGAGAATTTCAATTTCAATTTTCGTTTATTGTGGGATAAATATTTTGTATGTTTCAATAGCACGAAAAATGTTTGGCATCATTCGAGAGAAAAAATTAATAGAAAACTTGAAAATAACAAAAAAATACCCTACTGACTAATTCAAAAAGGCTACTTCCGCGATTTTGCTGTATTTGCGAATCTCGGAATCGCAGAATTCATCTGTGGTTGGTTGGTTGGTTGGTTGTTTAACGCCGCACTCAGCAATATTCCAGCTACATGACAGCGGTCTGTAAATAATCGAGTCTGGACCAGACAATCCAGTGATTAATATCATGAGCATCGATCCACGCAATTGTGATCGATGACATGCATCAACCAAGTCAGCGAGCCTGAAAACCCGATCCCGTTTGTCGCCTTTTACGACAAGCAAAGTCGCCTTTTACGGCAAGCATGGGTTGCTGAAGACCTACCCCGGAATCTTCACGGGTAGAATTCACCTGTGAGTGGTGATAGCTCTGATATATGAACATACCTGCAGACTGCCCCGGGGATGCCGCATGTCTGGTTGGCGCAGGGGTGGGAGGAACACATGGAGGGCGCGGTACCCACGGGGCAAGCTTGTGCTGAAACAACACACACAAGTTTATACACCTCAGACATTGCATGTACATTCCGATATGGCTTAAAGATTATGTTAGTGAATGTTATGTTAGAAAATGTCTGTGTAAGTTAATTAGAAAGAACCGTTGACCCTGTCACTCGTCATGTTGATATCTCTTTGTATCTTCATATAGCTCTGACTTTTCATATATAGCTGTAAATGCACATGTACCACCGATGGTCGTTTTCGTTTGAGAAGAAACTGAATCTGAATCTGACGGACCAAGAATCCTAGAAAGCCTGAACGTGAGAGTCAGCTCTTGTCTGGATACGGGTCGCTTCCAATTAGTCGTGCATGCGCTCATTTTTCAGAGACTTTCTTTAACGCCTCTTTGAACAGACAGTATTTACGCTGTATTACAGCGTATCTGCTTCACGTGGTAGGAAAACTCGAAGTCGTCAAAGACATAGACGTATACTCCTTTGACGCAGAGGTTTGTTGTTGACAATCAAAATAAATAAACAAATAAATAAATTGATTAATTAATAAATAATAATAATAATAATAATGATGATGATGATAATGATGATGATGATGATCAACATCATCATCATCATTATCATCATCATAAAATAATTCGTAATTCTGCAAAGCGAACCGCGTGAGTTTGCCAATATTAGCTTAGAAGAAAACCTTTATTACTAGATGGTTTATAACAGGCATTCGGGAATTCTATTTGAAGATTTTCCAAAAAGCATTCAAAACGATAGTGTTGCAAGCATGATTTATTGGTACCTGTTGCTTGGACGGACACTCCCATACCAACGGTATTTCTTGGAGGAACAAAGGTGGTGTCGGTCGCACCAGATCTTGCTCTCCACGCCGCAAGGTTATTCTGACCTTGACCTTGACCTTGACTCTGACTCGCAGGCCATGAAGTACCAGCGGTTGTTGGTCTTGTCATCGTTGGAGCAGTAGGAACGGAGTTTCCCGTCTGACCCTGGGATCCGAAATTGTTCTGTCTGCTGGTCATGGAACTCGTCGGAAGTGGACCGTTGGGTAGTAAGGCTGATGACCCTTGAGGATCAGCGTTCTGGTCGGGAAAGAGAGCTCCTAGTCCCATTACGTTCTGTTGTATTGCTAGCGCGGCGTTCGGTTGGGGGTTACGTTGAGCCACACTGGACACGCCTGAGGCAACAACCCTGGGAGGGATTTGTGTGTTGCGGGAACCATCTGTCCATGGCGACTGCGGTTGAGGGATGGAGGGAGTTGGCTGCAGAACCTGGGGGCCGGTCCACCCCGGGGCAATGCTTGTCACCTGGGTGGCAGGATTGGTCTGGATGATCGGGGGTGCTGAAATCGTTATTAGGATAGGATTGTCAGTGTCAATGACAACGGATACACGTGTTTGATGACATGCATGAGGATTAGAAGTGACCGTATTTAGAATTATGATTTGTTTATTTGTTTGTTTGTTTATTGTTTAACGCCGCACTAAGCAATATTTCAGCTATATGACGGCGATCTGTAAATAATCGAGTCTGGAACAGACAATCCAGTGATTGACACCATGAGCATCGATCCACGCAATTGGGATACGATGACATGCATCAACCAAGCCAGCGAGCCTGACCACCCGATTCCGTTAGTCGCCTCTTACGACAAGCATAGGATTCTGAGCGTAAGTGAGAACAGGCATACGAAGTCAAACGAAATTATATAGGATATGGGGATGTTTTAATCATTTCATGCTTAAATTGATCACTGACTGACCTTAACAAATTAAAAGAAAAAACAACAGAAGTAACTTGAGATTCATTTCATCTGGGATCATCTCAGAGTACCGTATTAACTCACGTTGTCGGCCCTTGCTGTTCGTGTAAGCGCTCCTGTCCTTCACCATGACGGACGATGGGACAATGAGTTCGGGGTAACTGGTCCGCCCACACTGCACCCTCATCCCGTCCCTGAAGAACTCCGCCATACACCCGCCACAGTAGTTAGGCCTGTAGAGTAGAAATTTTCTTGACATTTGGCAAATACGTAATTAATGAGAGCTTGCTTAGTTTAACGCCGCTTTGAACAGTATTTCAGTCACATTGGCTTGATGTGAGAGTGAGTGAGTGAGTACAGTGTTACGCCGCTTTTAGCAATATCCCAGCAATATCACGGCGGGGGACACCAGAATTGGGCATCACACATTGTACCCATGTCGGGAATCGAACCTGGGTCTTCGTCGTGGCGAGCGAACGCTTTAACCACTAGGCTACCCGACCGCCCCTTGATGTGAGAGGAAAGCCAAAAGTGATGTAGGCCTCAGACCATTGCCACGTTTGTGATATCTGATAGCATGGCTTGGGTGTTCACAAACCTTGGATCTAAGCTCGGGCGAGTTTGGTGCTGACGGATCAAGAGTCTAGGATTCGAACCCCCGACCGTTGGTTTCTGGCACGATTAAATGACACCTTAAATCACTTAGTCATCCGTGCTCACTATCATCATCATCATCATCATCATCATCATCCTCATCATCACCACCAGAGACATACCTGCATACGGCGTCTGGCATCCCCCTACACGTTGAACGCATGCACGGGTCGTCGCGACATTGTACACGCATCACTTCCGGGGGGCACTCTGGAATGGCAAATGACATCCTTCATTAGCTGGTTAAAAGAAGCAACATTAATATAGGTTTACACTGAATGTATCAGCTACTCTCAACGCCTCCATGGTCTCATGGAGAGAATGTCTGCCCGGAGTGCGAAGGGTCGGTGGTTCGAGCCCTGGCCGCTTCATGCCAAAAGAAGTGAAAAGATGGCACTTCTTGTTTCCCTGCCTGGCGCTCGGCATTAAGAGGATAAAACAAGGACTGTTCGGCAGGGACATCAGTTCTTAAGCGGTTTTAGTCCGGAATAGTACAAGCAGCCACCCACACGCACACACACGCAAATACGCACGCGCACGCACGCGCACGCACACACACGAACACACACGCTCGGTCTCTCCCTCTCTCTCTCATCATCATCATCATTTATTGTATTCTGGCCATAGGCCCATATACATGCAATAACATTATATATATACAATTTTGTACATGTACAAGTATAAACATGCAGACTTATATGCACAGAGATGTGCACGTGTACAATTTTGCGAAAAATAACTCACACACATTCACACATACATACATACATACATACATACATACATACATACATACATACATACATACATACATACATACATACATACATACATACATACATACATACATACATACATACATACATATGTGTACACACACGTACACACACACACACACACACACACACACACACACACACACACACACACACACACACACACACACACACACACACACACACACACACACACACATACTGTCTGTATGTTTATAGAATGCAATAAACTCTGACGTATGTCCCCCTTACCATTCTGAAGCTGTTGTCTTTGATCCGGCACAATTGCTAAAAAAGAAATAAATTGAATGAAAGTTACAAAGTAAAATCTGGACCAGACATTCCAGTGATTGGCCGAATGAAGGGATCTGGTTGTTGGGTTGATATTGTTTCAACGGCGTTGGTGGATGCTCATGCTATCACTCACTGGTTTGCACTGTTCCATTGTTTACAAGTCGCCGTGATAACGTTTGGTTCACGATAGTTTCATCATCTTGATTCTCATATCAACCAATCGAAAATCATCGAAACTGTCTTAGACAGACCAGTGGCTGAGTAGCGACCAAATCCTTTGGCTGAAATGACACAGATCATCCATTTTTAAATCCCAGATCCCTGTTTTTAAATGCCTTGGCCTTCAACCATTCCAGGGTCCGATGATCGTGGGTTCGAATCCCATACTCGCCTCTGTCAGGATCCATGTCAACCATGCCTGCACCCGATGGTTTCATCAAAGGTACTGAACCCTACAATCAGAGCCTCGTTGGGATTTCCTGATACATAACACTGGGGCTTGGATGGCCCACTCGTCACTCAGGGATGCCAGAAGGTTATGATCGTGGGTTCGAATCTCAAACTCGCCTCTGTCAGGATCCATGTCAACCATGCCTGCACCCGATGGTTTAATCAAAGTAGTGAACCCTACAATCAGAGCCTCGTTGGGATTTCCTGATACATAACACTGGGGCTTGGATGGCCCACTCGTCTCTCAGGGGTGCCAGAAGGCTTTGATCGTGGGTTCGAATCTCAAACTCGCCTCTATCAGGATCCATGTCAACCATACCTGCACCCGATGGTTTCATCAAAGGTACTGAACCCTACAATCAGAGCCTCGTTGGGATTTCCTGATACATAACACTGGGGCTTGGATGGCCCACTCGTCACTCAGGGATGCCAGAAGGTTATGATCGTGGGTTCGAATCTCAAACTCGCCTCTGTCAGGATCCATGTCAACCATGCCTGCACCCGATGGTTTAATCAAAGTAGTGAACCCTACAATCAGAGCCTCGTTGGGATTTCCTGATACATAACACTGGGGCTTGGATGGCCCACTCGTCTCTCAGGGGTGCCAGAAGGCTTTGATCGTGGGTTCGAATCTCATACTCGCCTCTATCAGGATCCATGTCAACCATACCTGCACCCGATGGTTTCATCAAAGTACTGAACCCTACAATCAGAGCCTCGTTGGGATTTCCTGATACATAACACTGGGGCTTGGATGGCCCACTCAAGCAGCCACACACACGCACACACACGCACATACGCACGCGCACGCACACACACACACACACACGCACACACACGCTCGGTCTCTCCCTCTCTCTCTTTCTCTCTCTCTCTCTCATCATCATCATCATTTATTGTATTCTGGCCATAGGCCGATATACATGCAATAATATTATATATATACAATTTTGTACATGTACAAGTACAAACATGCAGACTTACATGCACAGAGATGTGCACGTGTACAATTTTGTGAAAAATAACTCACACACATTCACACATACATACATACATACATACATACATACATACATACATACATACATACATATGTACACACACACACACACACACACACACACACACACACACACACACACACACACACACACACACACATACTGTCTGTATGTTTATAGAATGCAATAAACTCTGACGTATGTCCCCCTTACCATTCTGAAGCTGTTGTCTTTGATCCGGCACAATTGCTAAAAAAGAAATAAATTGAATGAAAGTTACAAAGTATAATCTGGACCAGACATTCCAGTGATTGGCCGAATGAAGGGATCTGGTTGTTGGGTTGATATTGTTTCAACGGCGTTGGTGGATGCTCATGCTATCACTCACTGGTTTGCACTGTTCCATTGTTTACAAGTCGCCGTGATAACGTTTGGTTCACGATAGTTTCATCATCTTGATTCTCATATCAACCAATCGAAAATCATCGAAACTGTCTTAGACAGACCAGTGGCTGAGTAGCGACCAAATCCTTTGGCTGAAATGACACAGATCATCCATTTTTAAATCCCAGATCCCTGTTTTTAAATGCCTTGGCCTTCAACCATTCCAGGGTCCGATGATCGTGGGTTCGAATCCCATACTCGCCTCTGTCAGGATCCATGTCAACCATGCCTGCACCCGATGGTTTCCTCAAAGGTACTGAACCCTACAATCAGAGCCTCGTTGGGATTTCCTGATACATAACACTGGGGCTTGGATGGCCCACTCGTCTCTCAGGGGTGCCAGAAGGCTTTGATCGTGGGTTCGAATCTCAAACTCGCCTCTATCAGGATCCATGTCAACCATACCTGCACCCGATGGTTTCATCAAAGGTACTGAACCCTACAATCAGAGCCTCGTTGGGATTTCCTGATACATAACACTGGGGCTTGGATGGCCCACTCGTCACTCAGGGATGCCAGAAGGTTATGATCATGGGTTCGAATCTCATACTCGCCTCTGTCAGGATCCATGTCAACCATGCCTGCACCCGATGATTTCATCAAAGTACTGAAACCTCCAACAATTAGAGCCTTGTTGGGATTTCCTGATAAACAACACTGGGGCTGGGATGGCCCACTCGTCTCTCCGGGGTGCCAGGAGGCTATGATCGTGGGTTCGAATCCCTGCTTACGATGTTAGGTTATTGTGGCTCCCACACAAGTTTGATATAACGCCTTGATATAAGTAAAACACTGCTCACATCGGCGTCAAACCCAACTTTACTCACTTACTCATGCCCATGTTTAAAACTTACCTGTTTGCAAAACGGGTGTCGCGGGCCTTCCGACAGCCTGAACTGAAAATATAAGATACTTGTTGTCAACCGATCTATAGGGTATATGCCATCATATACCATGCAGGGCGACGGGTATACAGACTCACCTACAGGGTATCTTACCGTCATTCATACACACAGGTCCGGAGTATATGCGTAACTCAGCAAAACTCGAAACAGACCACGCCAACGAAACGAGTTACTTCCCTTTACCCAATTCATTCGAATAAACATAGGCTCATTTCAACTGTAATAATAATAATAATAATAATAATAATAATAATAATAATAATAATAATAATAATAATAATAATTTTGCGATGAAATATCGAGTGCTATCCATACTTGTGAGACCATTCAGACAACAAGTATTGTGCAATGGCTTCCTGCTGCGATCTGATGTCTGATGTCTGTGCATGCATCGTGAGACACATTCATTCTTAAGTCTAGAAAGTAAGTTTCACTAACCGGGTAATATTGCTGACGTCACAGGGAGTTCTGAAAGAACAATAGGATGAGATGAGTTCCCGTCATGCAGCAGTGTTAAAGGGGTACTTCGCCGTGACTAACGGACAGACCCAGGTAATTTGATCTTAGTAGTTAAATTCAAATTATCAAACAGAGTGACAGGCAAATGATTATCGATTTGTAGCTAAGGATTGCTATGACTGCATCAAAACTGTTTCAATTCAGACATAGCACTAACTAACCATGTTCCCGTTCACCGGTACTCAACGAATTTTGACCCGTAGATTTAGGCTTGGGCCGGTAATTCACGTGAGTGTCAGTCCCTCTGGTCGACACATAAAGTACCCAATAATTTTTATTGTTTAACATAACATCGGTGATTGTTAATAAATCATATTTTTTAGAACGAAGTCAGCTTGTCTTTTATCATCACAGTTTCCCGTTGTTAATATTTAGTGCAGGGGAAGAACATTTCGCTTGTTTCGAGGATATATATCTATTTTTAGCGACTTAATCTCGAACCAAAGTGAAACGAGTTTATCCAACATGGCCGTTTATGAAAGCAGGCGAATCTTTTTAATATTGTTGAGAATGTCCACAAACGAACAAATGATGAATTAGTAAAATCAGCCAGTGATAATACTGATTGTGATAGCGGGATTATAAAGCCAAAAAGTGCCACAGAAGCTAAAGCGACAAAAATCAGCAAAAAAATCTGTTCGTCTTTATGCCGGGTTGTGTACAACCGTGAAAGCGCAATCACCGAATCTACCATAGAACATTGGAAGCAAAAACATTTAAATAGCAAATGTAGCAACTAGTAAATATATCGGTTTGATTATTGAAACCGTCAAATTACTGATGAAGAAAACCCTGATACTTTTCCTTTGTTTGTTTGATAAATGGCGGGAAAGCTGAGAGAAAAAATTCTGAAAAACGATACTATTCATGAGGGACGGCAGAAATAATAAGGCGTATATATGTCACCGCCCCCAACACTGTTCGTCCTGAGAGGTGGTTTCCGAATTAACTAACAAGGTCGGGAAAAAAGGTTTCCAGATTATTGGTGTCTGGACTAACGAGGTCTGGAAGAAGAGTTTCATGATTAACGGTGTCTGGACTAACGAGGTCTGGAAGAAGGGATTCATGATTTACGGTGTCTGGACTAACGAGGTCTGGAAGAAGGGATTCATGATTTACGGTGTCTGGACTAACGAGGTCTGGAAGAAGGGTTTGATGATTAACGGTGTTTGGACTAGCGAGGTCCGAAGGAACGGTTTCATGATTAACGGTGTCTGGACTAACGAGGTCTGGAAGAAGGGTTTCTAGATGAAAGGTGTCTGGACTAACGAGGTCGGAAAGAAGGGTTTCATGATTGACGGTGTCTGGACTAACGAGGTCCGGAAGAAGGGTTTGTTGATTGACGGTGTCTGGACTAACGAACCCGGGGTTGAAGGTGTCTGGACTAACGAGGTCCGGAAGAAGGGTTTCTAGATGAAAGGTGTCTGGACTAACGAGGTCCTGAAGAAGGGTTTCATGATTGACGGTGTCTGGACTAACGAACCCAACATAGACGGTGTCTAGACTAACGAGGTCCGGATGAAGGGTTTCCAGACAAACGAAATTTCAATGTCTGTCAGGTGTTTGTCTGAACGTAAAGGAATTTATGCAAAGCAATATCACGTAGCAAATGAACCATAAGGAAAGAAGCCAATCTGCTTACCGAGCCCAAAATGCACTGCAGGAGAAACAAGGCAAAAAAGTTATATGAATTTACCAGTAACTGTTGCTTCTCCGAAACAGCAATGGTTGTAAAATTAATTTCAAAATATTTTCGTTTTTTTTCCTCGTTTAACAGCGCATATTCCAGCTATGTGACGGCGGTCTGTAAATGATCTAGTCTGGACCAGTGATTGAAATCATGAGCATCGAATAACGGAATTTGAATACGATGACGTGGATCAATCATACTGCGAGCTTGACCACCCGCTCGATTGAGTCGCCTTTTATGACAGGCATAGCTTGCAATAGTGATTTCAAAACAAGCACAAAAATAACTTGACATTCTTTCAGCAACACGTCTGATATATGCAACACTAGTTAACTTAAACGATCGGAGCATCTTGATCGCTAGAACGAGTGTCGATGCTTTATTTAGAAGAGGAATTGAATCAAACCGGGGTTTGACAAAACCGTAAATTCCTTACGTGGACCGTTGCAGTTGACTTGCCCGAAACTTGTATGCCACACAGGTCGACAGCCGCAACGCATATACACCAAACTGAAAATAGAAAATATGTGAGTGAGTGAGTGAGTGCTTCTCTCATTGTAGGCATGAGTGAGTGAGTGAGTGAATGAGTGAGTGAGAGTGGCTTCTCTCAGTGTACTTATGTGAGGAATCGAACCCGGATCGAGCGAACGCTTCAACCATCAAGCTACCTCGTCGAAGTCATAGGCTAAGTTAGTATATTGGATTGGCATTCATAACTTGCATGTATTTTTATTTAGTGTTTGCACTCGCGCATATATATATATATATATATATATATATATATATATATATATATATATATATATATATATATATATATATATTATTTTAAGAAACAGATTCTACAGAGTCGCTCCCCTTAGATGTGCCAGGGTTCAGCAATCACCCTGATCATGGTCACTGGTTTGTTTGCACCATGCTCGTTGATTTCTTTCTTTCTTTCTTTGTTGTTTAACGCCGCACTCAGCAATGTTCCAGCTATATGAGGGCGGTCTGTAAATAATCGAGTCTGGACCAGACAATGATTGATATCATGAGCATAGATCCACGCATTTGGGATCGATGACATGCATAAACCAAGTCAGCGAGCCTGACCACCCGATCATGTTCGTCGCCTCTTACGACAAGTATAGGTTGCTAAAGACCTATTCCACCCCGGATCTTCACGGGTCGCTCGTTGATTTTAACAAAGCGGAAACGTTTAGGACGTGACTGTGACTCACTGTGATTGATTGAGTATGGTTTTTCCCCGCTTTTAACAATATTCCAGCAATATCTCGGCGGGGACAAAAGAAATGGGCCTCACACATACCCAGCTGCGGAATCGAACCCGGGCCTTTGGCGTGACGAGCGAACGCTTTCACCACTAGGCTACCCGACCGCCCGTGACTCACTGGGGACTTTCCTCCAACATCCCACTGACACGGGAGACAACTGGGCTACTTTTCAAGAACGGTAACTCTACCTGCATGTGGCTTGTGGGTAGAGAGGGCACACAGATGATCGGCATGGGTTGAACCAACACGTGATGATGTCCACGAATGTGCAGCGGTCATCTGAAACGTGTGGCGTTATGACAAGATGAACACATTATGACTGTAGGTGAAGACATTGTGGCTATAGGTGAAGACATTGTAACTGTAGGTGAAGACATTGTGACTGGTGAAGACATTGTGACTATAGGTGAAGGCATTGTGACTATAGGTGAAGACATTGTGACTGTAGGTGAAGGCATTGTGACTATAGGTGAAGGCATTGTGACTATAGGTGAAGGCATTGTGACTATAGGTGAAGACATTGTGACTGTAGGTGAAGACATTGTGACTATAGGTGAAGGCATTGTGACTGTAGGTGAAGGCATTGTGACTATAGGTGAAGACATTGTGACTATAGGTGAAACATTGTGACTATAGGTGAAGGCATTGTGACTATAGGTGAAGACATTGTGACTATAGGTGAAACATTGTGACTATAGATGAAGGCATTGTGACTATAGGTGAAGGCATTGTGACTATAGGTGAAGGCATTGTGACTATAGGTGAAGGCATTGTGACTATAGGTGAAGGCATTGCGACTGTAGGTGAAGGCATTGTGACTGTAGGTGAAGGCATTGTGACTATAGGTGAAGGCATTGTGACTATAGGTGAAGACATTGTGACTATAGGTGAAGTCATCGTGACTATAGGTGAAGACATTGTGACTTTAGGTGAAGGCATTGTGACTATAGGTGAAGACATTGTGGCTGTAGGTGAAGGTACTGTGACTATAAGTGAAGGTATTGTGACTATAGGTGAAGGCATTGTGGCTATAGCTAAAGACGATGGAACCCTGTTATTCCGTACGATACCGTTTCTAGTGATATCGTCCTGGTTACGAATTTGACAATTTAACGTTGTTAGCGTGAAACTCATAATAATATACATAAGTATTTATAGACTGAAATATTTAAGCAGCCTTGGCGATAATGAAATAAATCAAATGACATAACTCACGTTGTGAAAGAAAAGCTGTTGTAGTCTGTGTGATACCTGCAAATGAACAAAAAATGTAACAATAATTGTAGAATAGACGAGTTTCCATGTCCCGTCACACCATATGATGAGGATGTTGTTATTATTATTTTGCACAGATAAAAAAAAAAAAAATGCAAACCCACCCAGAACTTTCCGGAGACTATGAAGACTACCCAACACTGCAGCCTTCTGCATTACCCAGATTGTCAGAAGGGCTGTATTCCTGGTAGCAAACCCGGGTACATACTCTTCCAATGTCAGTCAACAGATTGGGAGGTCCCAATCCTAGGGTTCCAAGAACACTGGGGAGTCGGACAACTTGGTACTTGGGATGCAAGCGTGTCATTTCGAAAGCGAGGACCGCATATTTGCCATGTATTTGCTGAATCTGGTCAATCATATTAGTGTCAAAAGGGACAGAAAGTTCAATGATATAAATGATTTCATTGGATTTATCCAAAAGGACAAGAACAGGTTTGTTGGCCCGGATACGTCTGAGGCTGTAAAACCGGCCTATTCAGAAGAATTTTGAATTTTTCCATAACGCCCTCTACATATTCTGGGTCGTACCATGGATGGACCTCTGTGTCAAAACAACAAGCATGGCGAAGTATGTAATAAAATCATCGAGCTACAGCATTCAACTGAAGTTTCATTTTTGGTGATCTGTTTGTCATCATAACAATGGTTTATTACTAGCTTGTTCCTTCATACGTCCCCTACGACTGTGATCCATCACGTGCGATGAGGCGGGCTGATTGATGTCTCCCAGCATGTCAATGTAGTGATCTATTGGTTACATGGCCGGGGTTTGATGCTCGTGATAAAAACGAATGAATAATGCTGAGACAAACATAAGCGTAAGTCATGTGACCGCAAATCCAGATTGGGGCTTCTGAAGGCTGGTGTAAAATCAGATTGAGACCTAGTGGAAGACGTTAAGGGGAGCTGGGGTTTAACGTCGTTTTTATAGCAACGTGTGTGTGTATGTGTGTGTGTGTAGGGGGGGGTGGGGGGGGGGGGGGGGAGGTTGCGGGGGGATGCTGATTGTACTGGTCGTGACTAAAGCCGGTGATAAAGTACCTGCCCAATGAAATACCATGTCGCAGTTTAACATGGATAACCCACTGCACTGGCTCTTGTATCTCCTTTACGACCAGGCAGGGTAACAACAAGTACCATCTTTTAGCATCTGTTGGTATGACGCGGCAGGGCATCGAAGCACTGTACTGGTCGTGACTAAAGCCGGTGATAAAGAACCTGCCCAATGAAATACCATGTCGCAGTTTAACACGGATATCCCACTGCACTTGTATCTCCTTTACGACCAGGCAGGGTAACAACAAGTACCATCTTTTAGCATCTGTTGGTATGACGCGGCAGGGCATCGAAGCACTGTACTGGTCGTGACTAAAGCCGGTGATAAAGAACCTGCCCAATGAAATACCATGTCGCAGTTTAACACGGATATCCCACTGCACTTGTATCTCCTTTACGACCAGGCAGGGTAACAACAAGTACCATCTTTTAGCATCTGTTGGTATGACGCGGCAGGGCATCGAAGCACTGTACTGGTCGTGACTAAAGCCGGTGATAAAGAACCTGCCCAATGAAATACCATGTCGCAGTTTAACACGGATATCCCACTGCACTTGTATCTCCTTTACGACCAGGCAGGGTAACAACAAGTACCATCTTTTAGCATCTGTTGGTATGACGCGGCAGGGCATCGAAGCACTGTACTGGTCGTGACTAAAGCCGGTGATAAAGAACCTGCCCAATGAAATACCATGTCGCAGTTTAACACGGATATCCCACTGCACTTGTATCTCCTTTACGACCAGGCAGGGTAACAACAAGTACCATCTTTTAGCATCTGTTGGTATGACGCGGCAGGGCATCGAAGCACTGTACTGGTCGTGACTAAAGCCGGTGATAAAGAACCTGCCCAATGAAATACCATGTCGCAGTTTAACACGGATATCCCACTGCACTTGTATCTCCTTTAAGATCAGGCAAGGTAACAACAAGTACCATCTTTTAGCATCTGTTGGTATGACGCGGCTGGGCATCGAAGCACTGTACTGGTCGTGACTAAAGCCGGTGATAAAGAACCTGCCCAATGAAATACCATGTCGCAGTTTAACACGGATATCCCACTGCACTTGTATCTCCTTTAAGATCAGGCAAGGTAATAACAAGTACCATCTTTTAGCATCTGTTGGTATGACGCGGCTGGGCATCGAAGCACTGTACTGGTCGTGACTAAAGCCGGTGATAAAGAACCTGCCCAATGAAATATCATGTCGCAGTTTAACACGGATATCCCACTGCACTTGTATCTCCTTTACGACCAGGCAGGGTAACAACAAGTACCATCTTTTAGCATCTGTTGGTATGACGCGGCTGGGCATCGAAGCACTGTACTGGTCGTGACTAAAGCCGGTGATAAAGAACCTGCCCAATGAAATACCATGTCGCAGTTTAACACGGATATCCCACTGCACTTGTATCTCCTTTACGACCAGGCAGGGTAACAACAAGTACCATCTTTTAGCATCTGTTGGTATGACGCGGCTGGGCATCGAAGCACTGTACTGGTCGTGACTAAAGCCGGTGATAAAGAACCTGCCCAATGAAATACCATGTCGCAGTTTAACACGGATATCCCACTGCACTTGTATCTCCTTTAAGATCAGGCAAGGTAATAACAAGTACCATCTTTTAGCATCTGTTGGTATGACGCGGCTGGGCATCGAAGCACTGTACTGGTCGTGACTAAAGCCGGTGATAAAGAACCTGCCCAATGAAATACCATGTCGCAGTTTAACACGGATATCCCACTGCACTTGTATCTCCTTTAAGATCAGGCAAGGTAATAACAAGTACCATCTTTTAGCATCTGTTGGTATGACGCGGCTGGGCATCGAAGCACTGTACTGGTCGTGACTAAAGCCGGTGATAAAGAACCTGCCCAATGAAATACCATGTCGCAGTTTAACACGGATATCCCACTGCACTTGTATCTCCTTTAAGATCAGGCAAGGTAATAACAAGTACCATCTTTTAGCATCTGTTGGTATGACGCGGCTGGGCATCGAAGCACTGTACTGGTCGTGACTAAAGCCGGTGATAAAGAACCTGCCCAATGAAATACCATGTCGCAGTTTAACACGGATATCCCACTGCACTTGTATCTCCTTTAAGATCAGGCAAGGTAATAACAAGTACCATCTTTTAGCATCTGTTGGTATGACGCGGCTGGGCATCGAAGCACTGTACTGGTCGTGACTAAAGCCGGTGATAAAGAACCTGCCCAATGAAATACCATGTCGCAGTTTAACACGGATATCCCACTGCACTTGTATCTCCTTTAAGATCAGGCAAGGTAATAACAAGTACCATCTTTTAGCATCTGTTGGTATGACGCGGCTGGGCATCGAAGCACTGTACTGGTCGTGACTAAAGCCGGTGATAAAGAACCTGCCCAATGAAATACCATGTCGCAGTTTAACACGGATATCCCACTGCACTTGTATCTCCTTTAAGATCAGGCAAGGTAATAACAAGTACCATCTTTTAGCATCTGTTGGTATGACGCGGCTGGGCATCGAAGCACTGTACTGGTCGTGACTAAAGCCGGTGATAAAGAACCTGCCCAATGAAATACCATGTCGCAGTTTAACACGGATATCCCACTGCACTTGTATCTCCTTTAAGATCAGGCAAGGTAATAACAAGTACCATCTTTTAGCATCTGTTGGTATGACGCGGCTGGGCATCGAAGCACTGTACTGGTCGTGACTAAAGCCGGTGATAAAGAACCTGCCCAATGAAATACCATGTCGCAGTTTAACACGGATATCCCACTGCACTTGTATCTCCTTTAAGATCAGGCAAGGTAATAACAAGTACCATCTTTTAGCATCTGTTGTTATGACGCGGCAGGGCATCGAAGCACTGGTCTTCCGTTCTCCGGTTAGACGCGCTATCTATTACACCACAGATTAGAAGGCGTTTATCGTAGGTGGGTTGATGTCGGATAGGCGAGGCGAATTTGGGTTTAACGTCGCGACCAAGATTATTGCACTTACATTGCGGCGTGCTTGTTCGGACTAATGCCGATTGTATCACTGAGATCCATGCCACAGTTTAACATGAATACCCCGCTCAGACACAGTATACTCACTCCGAGCCCACCACTCCTTGTTTTAGCCCCTTAATACCGAGCGCCAGGCAGGGTAACAACAAGTAACATATTTTAACGTCTTTCAATATGACACTAGACCACGGACGCGGTCAGAGGTCGGAACAGTACATAGCCATGATCTCGCAGCTACCCATATATAACCGTATCTATAACCACGAAGTATCCATATCTCCGAGTGAGTGATTGAATGTTATTTGAAGCCGCAATCTGACAAAGCCCCGGTTCTGACAATATTCGAATCTAGGCCAGATCAACCAATGGGTGATAGCGTGAACAACCATCGGGCATACGATGTCACAGCCACGTCATCGAGCCTGACTATCCGATTCCGATGTTCGAACGCCAAACATGAGGACGTATTATAACCTAGAATCCCATTTATTTATATGTATACCACGACGGGTCCTACATCTTTTTTATGTTTGTTTTTGGTTTAACGCCACACTCAGCAATATTCCAGCTTATATGACGGCGGTCGGTATTATAATCGATTCTGAACCAGACAATCCAGTGATTGACATCATGAGCATCGATCCACGCAATTGGGATACGATGACATGCACCGCCCGATCCCGTTAGTCGCCTCTTACGACAAGCATAGTCGCCTTTTAGGGCTATCATGGGTTGCTGAAGACCTATTCTACCCCGGATCTTCACGGGTTGGACCTACATGTAACAAGACAAAAACTATGGCTCTTCCATTCTTCACGGGACTTCACATTAAGACGCCCACTTGCGGCTATGCGTTGTTGAAGTCTTCCTAATTTATCACTGTTCGTGAGGGAATATGTTTGTTACAATAGCCTGAAGCTACAGGAGTAGGTAACATGCTTACTAAGCATGGCGGAATCCTAAACCTAAAGTCGGTCATGCGCGGAACGTACTTCCGGTCATATGGCGAGGAAGATTAATGACATGTTTCACGAAAGCGGAAACGTCACTGACGAGATATAGGAGGTCGTAAAAGTCATATTTCTACATCGTAATACTTTTAACCCGGTCAGAGCAAGAACATGTTTGAAAGAGCAATACAGCAGATGGCTTGGATGAAATATTGTGTGTGATATGATCACATGTGATATCGAACGCTGATGTTAAAATGTCAGTGTCTGGTTGTCCAATGTTACATGTTACATAGTTCTCTCGTCAGGTTTGATTCGCTTGAGAACGTAAAGCTGTCGCAGAACTGTCGTAGTTGTCGCATATGCGTGCAGAATTGTACGATGTGTGTGGGAAGGGGGGGAGGGAAGGGATCTACAAGAACCTGCTTTTCATTCGTCACCACTCGCTCCTTTCCGTAACCTGCAAGAAGACTCGTCCCCCTATCTATGAATGTTATGTGCGAAAATACGACAAACCAATCAGAATAACGTTTGATTTCAAGTTCTTCGTCAAAGAATCCCTCAGGAATAATTTATGATTTTACATACATGTGTATGTCTTGCATCTAGAAATATACCCAAGACACAGTTAAATGTGTTCAATCATAATGCATAATTCCGCACGTCCTGATGTGCTTTAAATTGCATCTGAAATATATATCATATATGGGGAAATATGTGTGAATCATTACGTAACGAGTTGACAATTGTTTTGGGTATGCCCGTTTGCGCTAAGACGGAACCCGGCCGCATAAATGGCCACGAGAGGGGCACGAGTCGCTCTTCGGCTTTTCCCGGAATAACACGAGTTGGTCACGAATGCCTGCTTCTATCGGCGACCATCCTCGAATATCTAGTGTACTGTGTCTCAGTTATATAGTAACATCGTTTCGGAAGTGACGCCAGTAGTCATCACTCGTCTTCACCAACTTCGCAGTATTCCATCGTTCATTAGAGAGATTGCCCGACAATTTAGAGTGTCGTACCTTTCAAATTGGGAGGAATAAGATTCTTTGAAAGGTTATACTTCCGCCGTAGATGTCATAATAGAATAGGAATATAATATATAATATATATTTGAGGACGAGCTGCTATCGATTTTTTTTAACTTGTAAATGTGGTATATATGTTATTTTTTACATTGGAAATATTCACCTTTTGTGTCAGTTGGCATGTCGTAATATTTCTACATTTCGTATGACTACACCAATTAAATTTTCAAATGCATGTTTTATATGCTTAAAAAGGAGGGAGGTTGACTCATCTCTGTTTGTCAATAAGAAATTTAACACACTAACGGTACACTCTGGCGCGACCTTGTGCGTCTTCAACCGCTAGTCCATGACAGTTATTAATGATTGGATGAAGTAGGCCACGGAACGACCAATCAAAGACAAGGAGACAAAGACATACATCCGTCACGTGAATCAAAGGTGTTTTGGCACAATGGGTGTTTGTTTGAGGATGTCCTTGTCGTTGGTTTCATAGCCAGCTATTTGTTATCCGTTTCACAGACTTCTTCACCCGAAATTATCAATCATAATAATTCCCAACAACAATTAGAAAAACGGAGTAGACCGAATGTAACGCGATGATCTGAATCCGCGTTGTTCACACTCTATGATGGTCGTGACTTGGTCATGCAAATAAAACCTTTGTTAAAATATTAATTTGTAATAATTAAAAATGTTTCTAAGGTCAAGTCACACCAGAATAGTTTGAGGCCGTTCTAATATGTACTAGAGGTAAATAATGTTATAAACACATTTTCTTTCTCTTCAAAGGGGCGGTCGGGTAGCCTAGGGGTTAAAGCGTTCGCTCGTCACGCCGAAGACCCGGATTCGATTCCCGACATGGTTACACTGTATGAAGCCCATATTGGTCCCCCCGCCGGGATATTGCTGGAATTTTGCTAAAAGCCACGTAAAACAGTACTCACTCACTTTATCTTTCGAACTACATCCCCATGGAGATTCCGGGTTAGAGAAGGTCGGGGTAACCTTTCGTGTCTCCCTTTGGGAATTCCCGTTTAAAACAGACCCCTAACAACCTGTACTGGTTGTATAATCCGACCAAATTAATCGAGCGGTCAGGCTCAGTGAGTTGTCATCTTACCCCGACGGCGAGGATCGTTGTTCACAACATTGATCATTGGATTGATTGGTCCAGACTCGAAAAGTCTGTCTGTCTTAATATAGCTAGGATATTGCTGAGTGTGGCGTTAAACAACACACAACATCTCTAGCGAGACCCACAACACACATCACTGACGTGCTTCCACGGCCATCACAATTCCAGTTCACATTACATAAAAAAAACATAGAAAGTGCGGAGCTGAATTTGGACTGGAAATATTAATCTTATTTTTAAATTGAAATTAAAAACAATGTGACAGAACTGGGTTACTCTCGTCTCCATTATTCTATCCAATCACGACATGCTAAATGGGAACACGACCATTTCATTGTTCTTCATTATGTCACAGGATGGGTTTTTTAACTGATCTTTCTTGCTGTCCCATTTGTTTTGTGTTGAACATTCTAGTAATGACTAAGACACATTGTGAGGCCATGGTCCTAGCCGTGACAAGCGTTAACGATGAACGATCACCTGTAGTCTATATTTGACACATAGGCTACAAACACACTTTAATACAAAGGTATCTGAATGCACGTGGCTCACACACTATGTTGGTCGTGACGTGGTCAGCAAATTATAATCAACAATTGTAAAAATATTAATTTGTGATAATCAAAAATGTATCTAAGGTCTTCCACAGGGTAGTTTGAGGCCGTTCTAATATGTATTGGAGGTAAATTATGTTATACTACACATTTTCTTTAGTGTTCCCATTCACCCTGTTATGACTGGCTTGAACTCAAATATTGAACATTTTATTTGTAGTTATGCATTTACATAATTTAATCAGCAAAACATTAAGATTATACGTCGACAGTGAGATTGTTATAATACAAGTGTATCCTTTCTAACCACATAATATTATTACCACTTAAAATAATAAGGGATTTTTTTGTCATACCGTTCCAAAATACAGGCCACTTTTCGAGTGCGACCATTATGTCATAAATAGGTTGTGAATATATTCATTTCATGAATAAAGAAGTAACTGAAGTATATAAATTGCATCATGGCAATGTGGAGAATAAACCGACAACTGACAGCGGCCTTGACAGCGCACACGCCATCATCAAGGCGACAACAACAATCTGTTTCTCCCTGACATTTACGAAGCCCGTAGAACAACACTCGTACCAGCAACAAGAAGACACATATCTACTCACAGAGTAAAGCGAACATCCTAATGGCTGTGGTCCACTTCATGTTTATCTTGTTAATGTTAACTCCTTGGTTCTGAAAAGTGTTCAAGGTTCGTGCTGCTGCCTGGTCAGCTTGTATTGAGCTTGTGTTCTGGGGAAGATGTTCTCAATACCTACCGCCCGTGACGTATATAGGGCTGTGATAGATTGTAGGGGTGTCGCTCACAGTCGATCATGATGGTGACGTATTGGTACGTCATGACCGTGGGAGTGTTTCTGAAACAGTTTCCGAAAAGTGTGGCATACATGTGACGGAAATTGTGTATTTGTGTATCTGAATAATGTATATTTTTTATTTGAACTTCACTGTCGAAGACTTTCAGCAAAACGTTGTGTCATCGTTTCGTCAGCATGATGGAGCGTTATGTCAATGTTAATGTAATGTGTCTCAGTATTTTAGAAATAATTGTCTATTTAATTTAAAGTTTTTAAGTGAGTGGGTTGGGGTTAGCGCCGACTTGAATAGGAAAACAGACTATTTCGTAAAAACCCACAAACAGGGATATATTGCTGACAGCATAATGATCATAAACAGGGCGAATGAGGAGCTCAGCTGCATCCGGACACACTTAAGGGACGCAACTCTGCACAGTGTATTTGAGCGCCTAAATTGGGCGAAACCAGTCCACGCTAATGTTAACGTTGTGGAGAGATAATTGAAAATGTAGATTGAAAACAAAGTTCTTTAACAGTAGGCGTGGCGGCCGGTTCCGAAAGTTGAAAGATCGATTCAGGAGTCGCCCAGAGCATGACCCTGGGGTTGCTAGAAAACAGTGTTCGGTTGTGTGGGACGCCATAACCCACAGGCTACATCTTACACAGTTATGCATGTAGGTTGTATACTCCAGAGGGGAGAGGGGGAAGAGAGGGTCTTGGGGGTCAGGATGGGGGTGGGTTTGTGGGTTTGATTCACACAATGATCCGCTGGTAATTAAGAGTGTAGAGAGAAATCTTCCGCCATTATGCTAATGTATAAACTATGAAGATATGTAGCAGCAGTAATGGTAGTAAGAGTGGTAGTAGTAGTAGTAGCAGTAGTAGTAGCAGAAGCCGCAACAGTAGCAGAAGTAGTAGTAAAAGTAGTAGTAGTAGTAGTAGTGGTAGTAGCAGTAGCAGTGGTAGTAGTGGCAGTAGCAGTAGCAGTAGCAGTAGTATAAGAAAAAGTAATAGTAGTAGTAGCAGCAGGAGTAGTAGTAGCAGTAGAAGTAGCAACAGTAGTAGTAGTAGTAAAAGTAGTAGTATTAGAGGTAGTAGCAGTAGCAGTGGTAGTAAAAGTAGTAGTAGCCGTAGCGGCAGTAGCAGTAGTTGCAGCAGCAGCAGTAGTAGTAGTAGTAGTAGTAGTAGTAGTAGTAGAAGTAGTAGTAGTAGCAGCAACAGTAGTAGTAGTAGTAGTACTAGCAGTAGCAGTGGTAGTGGTAGAAGTAGCAGTAGTAGCAGTAAAAGTAGTAGTAGTAGTAGTAGTAGTAGTAGTAGTAGTAGTAGTAGTAGTAGTAGTAGTAGTAGCAGTGGTAGTGGTAGAAGTAGCAGTAGTAGCAGTAAAAGTAGTAGTAGTAGTAGTAGTAGTAGTAGTAGTAGTAGCAGTGGTAGTGGTAGAAGTAGCAGTAGTAGCAGTAAAAGTAGTAGTAGTAGCAGCAGCAGTAGCAGCAGCTGCAGCAGCAGCAGTAGTAGTAGAAGTAGTAGTAGTAGTAGTAGTAGTAGTAGTAGTAGTAGTAGCAGTAAAAGTTGAAGTAGTGATAATACCTATCTACCCCAAGAGGGTAAAAGTGCATTTAGTAGTTAGTTGTTAAAATATCAAGCCCCAATGCATCTCGATTAATGGCCTTGTTGACTTGTTTTCCTTGCTCCACTAATGCCATACAGAATATGAGTTCTTATTGAAAACTATAACTTATTCTATTATCATAGTTCACTGTGCCGCTTTTTCGCACGTTGATCGTGTGACATAAATATTCATCCTTTGATGTGACTGTTGTCACGATAACAGGTTTTTTTTTTAACACAAAACAATGCATTACTTTATAAAATCATAACACGAACTGTCTCGCTGAGCTATTTAAACGTCAATGTCTGCCATTTGTCTAGTATTTGTCAAAGCGGTGCACCGTGTCCCTGACAAGTGAAGAAACTATACACGCCCCCGCCGCGCGCATGTCCAAACTGAATGTGCGCAGTTCATTAAATGCGCATCGTCATACATATGTAACCAGGACATATGTCAGAGGTCATAGCGCACCGGAAACATACTACCTGTCACCAGTGGTCATCGTTGTCGCGGTGATGGATGAAGAAGGCCAATTCAGTGACAACAAACATTTAGCCAACTAATTTACATTAGTTTATCTAATTTATTTACGTCCTCGTGAGTGACGTCAGTGTTAGGATGGACGCAACATTCTCGTTAATTGATGATCACAGAACCCGGATGCACGGCTAAAACATACGGACTTTCGAATTATTTTGTAAATAATAACATACCCAACCATTTGATTTTGCTAAAATTCACGGCCTCATGTTTGTATATTTAATTTGAGAAGTAAAGATTATTACCTGAATGGTTTTCCTGGTCATAAATATAATATATTATAATTAAAAAATTTATGATACAAGCCTTTGCTTAGCATAACACGCATTTAATCATCCTAAATTATATAAATAATGATATGGAGACACACCAGTGTCATAATCTCTTTTTCATACAATGTCATTAATCTGTTTAAGATTTCGCTCAATAAAGTAACTTATAAAATCGGCGCAGAATATGTTAGAGTGAGTGAGTGAGTGAGTGAGTGAGTGAATATGGTTTTACGCCGCTTTTAGCAATATTCCAGCAATATCACTGCGGGGGACACCAGAAATGGGCTTCACATATTGTACCCATGTCGCAAATCGAACCCAGGTCTTCGGCGTGACGAGTGAACGCTTTAATCACTAGGCTACCCGACCGCCCTTGAATATGTTAGAACACTGTTCCATTTATCGTACATTTGCCTATGATTTGTAACCATGTTTGTCCACATAACGACCACTACAACTACCTAAACTTATTGGGAAGATTAGTTAAAGGTTTATTGGTACATCAGGTATTGAATCGATGAATAGAGTTTAAAAGCTTTCCTACCATATGAAGTTAATCGGAATTTTATCGTACCGGTAACACCATCCATTTTAGGACAAAACAAAGTCAATATCGTTCAAGAGGAAACATCCGGGTAACAAAAGGTCTTCAGCAACCCATGCTTGCCGTAAAAGGCGATGATGGTTGTCGTAAGAGGCGACTAACGGGATCGAGTGGTCAGGCTCGTTGACTTGGTTTGATGCATATCATTGTATCCCAATTGCGTGGATCGATGCTCATGATAAACTTTGGTTTTGTATGAATAACCCAGGATGTTGGGAAATTTAACAATGTTATCAGATTACTTAAAATAAGCCTTCTTGATAATCTTAAACAAAACTGGTAATCACCCTTAAGTTAAGTAAACCGGTTGCAAATCTGTTTGCGCATGAATATTGATATATGCCCAAATATGGACATTGTTGACATTTCTATGCATACGCATTTACAACATGTTCCTGCTGTTGTGTGTGAAAACATGACAGCACCAACGCTCAAGATTTTTTTTTTAAAGAATTTATTTAACTTATTATAATTCAAGCTCATTGTTGTCATTACGCAAGACATCTGTAAGAAAACTTAAAAAGTCATTTAGCGCCGTGCTTTGATCGTCTGTCACTCGATCGCACCGACGTTGTCCCGGCTGAGCAATCAAAATGGTTCGGTTTCCTTGATCCATCAGCTACTCCACCACCTCTGGTGATATCGGTGTGTTCACCATACGATTCTTTTTTGTTTATGGTTTAACTCAGTATTCAAGGTATGACGATGGTCTGTAAAAAATCGAGTCTGGACCAAACAATCCAGAGATTGACATCATGAGCACCGATCCACGCAATTAGGATACGATGACATGCATCAATCAAGTCAGCGAGCCTGACTATCCGATCCCGTTAATCGCCTCATACGGCAAGTATGGGTTGCTGAAGGCTAACTCTATCCCGGATCTTCACGGAGGTCAATCATTAGTAGCTGAAGATCATTTCTATCCAGGATCTTCACAGGGGTTGATCATGGGTAGCTGAAGATCATTTCTAACCTGGATCTTCACGGGGGTCAATCATGTTTAGCTGAAGATCATTTCTAACCTGGATCTTCACGGGGGTCAATCATGTTAAGCTGAAGATCATTTCTATCTAGGATCTTCACAGGGGTCAATCATGTTTAGCTGAAGATCATTTCTAACCCGGATCTTCAAGGGGGTCACACCATGCAGTGACACTCAACGTCTCATTCTTCATGACATGTATGTTCATCCTGGCTGTTTGTCAACCTGCACATATCCACTCTCTCGTATGTCATCGTCCATGTCTTAATAAGACAGAATGACATATATCAATCTTGGGCTCTTTGTCAAACTACGTTCTTGACATTTGTTTTTTTGTTTTATGAAAATGTGACATTTTCCTCTGATTTTCGATTTAGAAGAAGAAATGGGATAAACAGTGTTTGCTGCAATGGGACTTCGGGAACGTGGTAAGTAAACTACGTTTATAACGAACACGCTTATAACGAACTGACGGATATAACAAACTTACTTTTTTGTCCCGACTATCTGCTGTATTATGCTGTATATATGCTTATTACGAACTACGGTTCTAACGAACTAAAATTAGCGGTCCCTTTGAGTTCGTTATAACCGTAGTTTACTGTAATTGCTTCGGTGAAGATGTGACATTAGGAGATTGACACTCTGTGTTTTCGATGTAGAGCTAGGTTACCTGTAGGTAACCGCTTTAAATTGAATTTTGAACGAAAGGCGCAGCATGTTTATCTTAAAACGCAAACTCTTTGGTGGTGATCACTAATATTGAGAGAATAAAGCGACAAAACCCTTTCCATATCCAACAGAAATCTCTGCATAAAGCAGAGTCCATTGTACGATTCCGACTATATCATGAGCATGTGTTTTGGAATCACTGTCAAATAGTAATGGTGCGAAAAAGTAAGTGTATCCTGCCCCGCCGCTTCATGAATACGACTTAAGTCAAATCTTAAAACATAAGTCAGAAAAGGTAAAAAACTTAGTTTATTTCAAGACTT